GAATGAGTCAAAATAGTGTTGCTAAATATACGCTAAAATGCCAGGTCAAATTTCATAATGAACGTTGCATGGTCATTGGAGACTACTGTAAATGACAAATGCCCCCAGTAGTTTACATAAGATAGTTGATAAGAGCTGGCCTGATAATTACGAAGCGGTAATGTTTCACAGGTGTCACCCGCTGCTCTTCCGTACAACCGGCACGGTGCACGCGTTTGGACGTTAAGAGGTTAATGACTAGCAGGTGTGTCGTCGATTGGGTTTCCCTAGAGGAAGAGGAGCAGTAATTTCCCGCCTGACAACAACAGCGTCAATAAACCTCGGCTGTGTCGTATCCATGTTTGTAGTATAGTCGACAGATGAGTCAGCATAGCTTAGCCAGTGATACTTCTGGAACGTTGATTGCTCATGGCTATGCGCTTTTTAATGTAGGCACTTGACCGAATTTCGAAGGCCAACCCAAACGCTGGTTTTCTGTGTCCTGTTATTTTCAGCGTTAAACGTTTTCTGTCTAGCTAAAACCTGCTGAAATCATTGATTGCGCCAGCCACAAATATACTTGAACAAAGAGTCCTGTTTAGTGCTTTCGGTTAGTCTCCATATTTGAACCACCACCACCAATAATTTAAGTCTCGTCTGTCCTATGTGTTGGATGTCCAGTAACTTCTAGGCCACCGCGAGTTTTTTGGAAAGCTATTGACCTGTGGTGTCTTTTTTTAAGCTAGACCCTTGTTTATCTTATTTATTATTCTGCCGTCTGTAGACGAGTCGATTGCCCGTCTGATGGAGATGGGCTTCTCTTGGGAACAGGCCTCAATGCAGACTAAAGTCCTTCAAGGTGATCCCCAGTCCGCCCTGCTAAACCTCATGTTGCCCCCGGGTCCTGATCTGGGCGACCGTCAGGCGCCCCAGGACAAAAGCTCACCACCGTCATCCATGGCTGTTCGTCGGCTGAAGCAAATTTTGGACTTCTTTTCACCCTCCGTCTCTGTTCTGCATGTAAGTTTTTTGCCTCTTTTCTCTTATCTCCTTGCTAACTGTCTTGTCCATCGTCTTTTCGCACTCAGTTGTCCTGATGGCTTCTTCTGCTTTATCATCGTATCCCTCACCTTCGTCCTCTTTTCTCCCCTTCTTTTCTTACGATGCTATCCCCATATAATCCGCTTTCTGTTGTTTTTTTACCTCTTTTAGTCTTTCCTCCTTATCTCCTTTCCTTCGATTTGTGAGATAGATAAATAAGTCCCAGGTATAGCATTGTGGCTGATTCTGGTCAGGATAACCGCAGAGCTCCGATAAGGGCCTTTTGGGAATACAGGTTAGTTGATTAGTTAGTAGCCCTTGTTGGATCAAGAGTCCCCGCCAGAGTCCAAACTGGGTGCATTTGCAGACGGCGAAAAGCCGCGACCTCAGCCGGCTTGAGCCAAAGATCCACCGGTGTGAGTTGGGTGCCTGACCGGAAGCTGCAAGTGAAGAAATGCTGACAGTCATGCGGAGCAACGCCACAGTCGGGACAGCTACCGGGTGTGGACGGGTCCAGTCGGGGTTGGTACTGGCGAAGGACCATTGAGTAGCCACTGCGTAGTTGAGCCAGAGTACAGCGAATGACCCTCGGGAGTTGTCGTTCCCTGGCTGCAATCGGAGGTGGATAGCCACCCAAAAGGACAGGGGAGTGTAGCTGAATTTTGCGTCCACAGCAGTTCTCTGGTGAATA